GTTCCGATACACCTTTTGGAACTGATTCTAAAAACACTGTATTAAATAATAAAGTGTTATCTGCTATAATTAATCCACCTTGTTTTATATATGATTCTGCCCAATCTAAATATTTAGTATAGTTGCCTTTATCTGCATCAATAAAAATCATATCAAAAGGAGCTTTGATTGATAGCTCATCAAGCTTTTCTAGCGCAATGCCTTCCATAAGAGTAATTTTGCTATTTAGATTGAGGAGACAAAAATTCTCTTTTGCTATTCCTGAATGTTGAGAATTATTTTCTATTGTATAAATATGACCATCTTCCGGCAGAGCCCGTGCCATACAAATTGATGAATAACCGTATAGTGTACCAATTTCTACAATACTTTTTACATTACGACTCTTGATGAATATACTTAATAATTTCCCTTCCTCAGGAGTAATCTGAATGCATTGTTTTTTTCCAAAGGTACAGTATTTCTCTATTTTTTCTTGTTCTTTTGCAAATAAATTTCTTATATATTGCAATTTTATGCTAGAGTTATTACGCATATACCACAAAGCTGAAAAATGACACTATTATTAATAGTAATAGTATAGTTCATAATTACAACGATATTTAACTTTAAGTTATTATTTTATGGTGTAAAATTTTAAGTGACAGAAATTATTATATACTGTATTATAATTAACTAGTACAATAATAAATGAAGGATTAAGGGAACTGTTTATGTACATTTCTCTTTTAAAGGTACAAATTTTTATAATCAATTAGAGGGGGATTATATGTCTTACACTATCGATGAGATTGAAACACTTAATAAAAAGTCTAATAACAAAAACGAAGGGGTTGCAATATTACATAATCCAGCTTACCGTGAAAAGTGGTTCGAATTTTTTAATGAAGCTCAAAGAAAAGTTATGGATATGGTGCAATTTTATGATGGAACAATAGTGCTCATAGAAAATAGAATTGCCATGTATTATTATACTTGGGATAGTAAAAGAAGAGAACTTCAGCGTAAAAAGCAACAGACAGTAACAAAAAACAATAATTCATAGGCTGTATAATGTTTGCAGATATGTGTTACTTGGCTGTAATAGCTATTTATTAGGGTAAAAGTGATTTATGAAGTTAGCAAAAGAATAGGGGCGTAATAGTATATTTATAGTAGTCCAAACAACTTACGAAACTTGGTTATAGTATTTTCAATAATAAGCAAATGATGTTCAGTTTTGTTAAAATCCGTAGAGTAACATTGGGTTTTCAAGAAGTCTACTATTTTGTATTGCTCTGCGCACTGCTTCTGTTGTTTTGGCGCACCTATGTAATACTTGATAATAATGATATACCATTACTCTCTGGGACTGT